GGGGGGGGGGGGGGGGGTATTTCGAGCGGTTCCTCTCATTGGAGATTTAATTGGCTATAATAACGGGGTTTTATGTTTATCGATAAACTCAAGAGTTCCAAAGTCGATTATTAATTTCGAATCGTTTAGGTTTTCAATTTATTCACGGATTTTTAAGAATGAATGAATGAATAAATTAACCGGGGGAAATGAAATTCAACTGAGATATTGACGAATATAAGTGAATTTTTGAGGGGTCCGATGTTTGAAATTGATCAGAGTAATTGTCTAATATTTTTGGAAAGCCGAGAATTATTTGAATTTCGAGGTTTTAAACAGGAGGGAAACGAGAATTTCAGTCAATTGATAAAAATTTTCAAGTGCAGGAAATTATTATACTCCGGGATGGAAGGAAAGTACTTCTCTCGTCTTTCAAAATTTCTAATTGTAATTCGACATTCAACAAAATTTTCTAATCAATCGTAAATTGATTGGTCTGCGGTCGTTACATAAAACAAATAATTATAGATGATGTGAAATTCTGTCGACGTTTCGACCTCAGATTTCGAGGTCCTCATCAGGAAAAAAAACCCATTACCAAATTAAGAAATATTAAGAAATATTGCCACTTAAATTAGTTATTGAAAGTGAAGATGGATAAAATGAAGATATTTTTTTCTAAATTAAATACATAAGATATTCTCATACTTGTAAATTTTTTTTTTCATAAAAAAATATATATACATTTTTAAAAGAGGAATACTAAAATCACAATTGCGTAATCAATTACAAGAACCCGTATATCAGAATGTATAAACTTATCAAAGACGAAGCACAATTTTCTAATTTTAATTTAAAATTTAAAAAATTCGAAAAATCAACAACTCCTCTGCATTAATCCCTCGGAAAAGCACTTGCAGTTGTGAAATGTTTGAAGAGCCATGAATGGAACCCTAGCCCCTCCCCTGCCCCCTGATCCTGACACCTAAACACCGTTGGCCTGATCATGAGCACCAGAAAAATTCCAGTTTTCATGTTTTATTGAACGATTCTGGTGGTTATTGGGCACTCCGCCAGGTCAGTAGTCACTAGACAGGGGACACACTTCCTCTTACTGCAATTCAATAGTATTTCTCAATGTTTACTTCTGTTATGGGGTGTGGTGCGATGCGACAGGAAGGTGGATTGTACCACTGACCATAGAGACAGTGGAAAAAAGAGGGGGACAAGGTGGGGATCGCGTGTGAATTGAGCACAGGTGCGTTGGACTTGAGGGCATCGGGTCACGTCTGGTTCATTCATCGTCCCCATACAGGAGAGTATTAGTTCGAGGAAGTTGCCACGTGAGGGGAATCAATGGAGCACGAGTTCATCGGGAGTTCTGATACCATAAAAGAATTATTTTTTGAACCGAGAGATTTGGGCAGATTATGTGGGTATTACGGAAATAATGGATCATGGGACAGTTGTTGCAGAGAATTTTATTACCCAATTATAAGGACCACTCACGAAATTAATTCGCATAATTGAGAAAATTTAAATTCAAGTCGATTTAGCCCTCAGCCGAGTTTTCGAGGAATATCTCCGAATCTGAGGGAGATAACGAAATTTTCATAATGACCTTTTTTGTAGAGCTAATGGAGGGCTACAAAAAAGGTTATAACAAAAATTTTGGTATCTCTCTTAGCTTTCGAGATATTCATCGAAAACGGGGTAAATTTGACGTAAACGAATTTCGAATTTCAGGGAATTAAGCCCTTTAAATTCTCCACGAAATTCTGCTGACATTTTCTAAGCCGATTTCCTCCCAAAATAGCCTTGACCACTTTCTCCGCTGATTTCAATAATTTCTCTCCTCTCAATTTAATTTCCGTTATATTTTAGGAAC